GAGGTGGTTGTTTCACAGCAAGGGCCGTAAGATATAATCAAAATATATCAGATTGGAATCAGTGATTTTTCAGTTATTTGCATGAATTTTTTTTTCCATTAATTCACGGTCCAAAGATAGACAGAGGAGCATGTTTAGGGAGAAAATTGCAATAGTCTGCAAGGACTTGCTCGAGTTGTAATTGTCTCAGATAGCAGATGAAAATTTACGAGAGATAAGCATAGTGCAGAACTCCAAGGAAGCAAAAGGTGACGCAGTTCTCAAGAACGTCTTGAACTTCCTTGGGAAAAATGAAAATGCAGGCTAAGGGAAGGATGGGGTGGGGTTGGTAAAAGAGGTATGGGTGAGGATGGGGGAGGGTCAAGTATATAGGCGGGGGCGGGAACATGGGTTGCACGCAATGAAAATAATCACTGATCCGACAGCGCGAAAAAAAATTCACATTAATAACAATAAACACAGTAATTGCAATATTAATCAACTACTATGCGAAATCATACAAAATGGTACTTTAATTAGTACGCAAAATTAATGAAACGGTGACTGGTCTGTTGCAGAACAGACTAAGGCTTCCAGAACAATGCATGATGCAAGCGGATTTGGGTCAGCTTCCCTTATCTGACAGCCTAAAGACAACCCTCGTGGTTGTAAATGATATATACTCAAAAAGAAATTCCCTGAGGAAAAGTGATGAAGGACCCAACAGTAGAAGGGATATCATCAAACGAACTCATACGCAGAACGCAAATTGGGCATCCCACGTATAGTCATATGTCACGTATAGTCATATGATACGGCGCATTGCGGCGCTTAGATCGCCTCTAGCGATAAGTGTGCAGCTTGGCACATACAGGAGAACTTAACATTAATTACCTTAACACTAATTACATGTCCATACCCAGCTGGGGGTCGTCACCAAGGACCATGTAATAATGATGAGGTGAGGTTCGTGATTAAGACTGATTAATGAAGAAAATGTTTCGAAAATTTGGTCGGCATACCAATGGTTATCGTGTGAAGGGAAATAAATTAATCTCTAACATAGAGATAACTGAATAAGATATAAATACATATAGTTTGAATGTAATTCAACCCGGGTGAAGTCAGATCGATGGTGGGAGAGGATATTTTACCTGAGTAAGGTGATGTGAGGTTATTATCCGAATTTCGTTTAAAATAGCAAGAGCTAATAGTTGTAAAATTAGCTGTGTAAAAAACAGGTACACTGTGATTGCAAATTAAATAATCAAATTACCTAATAGATGAAATGAAGAATTTACCAAATGTTAATAATGAAAGAAAAAAATATATCTATAAATAAGATTAATAATTATGGCGAAATATACTTTGGAATATGCACAAATATACTATAATAATAACTTAAAATCATACGATTTAATTAGATGAATTATGCTATTATGCAAATATTATTACAGCTCCCAATAAATTCATACAAATTGGAAGTAAATTCATCACTATCGTAAATACGTTGGTAACGGGATAATGATAAAATCACAATATTATATATGTATAAATAAACTTAAGTGTGGAAAGAAAAAAAATCGAGGCTAATACAGGTCATTGAAAAAGTGAGGTATACACCGTTGACAGGACCTGACTTGATTTCGCCTGAATAACTATGTGTCAAGTGGCTCGTGAAAAGAAAGAGTATAACGTTTGTATGTATAATAATAACTGAATTCGATATTCATATAAAAACACGAATAAACATGACACACTCTGTTTATATAATTATATATTCGAAAAGAAAACAATATATAACGTTCGAAGCTTAACTATTTTAAGTATATATCACGACATAAAATAATTTAACGCTAGTGGCTTGAACGAAATATTGAAAATAGTTAGAGGGGAAGGGGATAACGGTTGGGGGTTAAGAAGGAGGGAGGGGGTTTACGATGAGGGGGATGGGGGTAGATGGGAAACATGGGGAAAGAAGTGAAATGTTTGCTTTTGTGCATAATTCAATTAAATTACTCAAATATTAAAAAATATCCCACAAATGCATTGGTAAACCGAGCCTAAATAAATGTGCTAAGTAATAATAGGAGAATTGAACGTCGATATGGCGTCGGTTAACGCAGTGAAAGATAACGAGAATAAGAAAAACAAGGCAAGAATATTGCAATGCTTAGGACTCTAGACATGTGACCTTCAATGTCCGTAGAGAAGATGCACGCTATATTTCACCCACATGAATAAAAGATTTAAGCATTATAAACGATGTATGCTAACTAGGCTAGCATGATCGAGTTGTATTTAAAAAAAACACGCCAAAGAAAGAAAATGCACTTTGCACGGACACTTGTTCAGATATTTGAAAAATAAAATCACTGCACTTATAAAAAAAAATCGTATGACATGCACACGGGAGAAGAAAGGGGAAAATAGAGAAGTGCCCACGGTGTACTTACAATTTTTCGGAGGAGGCATGGAATTTGTGTTGCAGCTGCATAGATGGACATCCCGCCGTCTGCCACCAGTTTGTCTGGGTTTTGTTTTCCCCTGACTTTGGTGGGTGTATGGAGATACAATTCTGGTTTGGAATTTATTCTGAAGAGGTGGCTGGTAGCGGGGCTGTCTCGTGCTTGAGCAAATGGAGCTTAAGCATGAGCGCGCATGGGGAGAGACCCAGAGGGAGCCGTCCAGGTCAGGGCGCTGCCCTGGATCAACTGTGCTGTAGCTTTCAAGAGCGGGTCAGCAGGAGTCCTTAACGTTGGAGATGTGGGAAGGTATTCCTTGTTCCTCAGAGAGTGAGTGAGTGAGGGAGTGTGTACGCAACGTTTATAAACATGGAATTAATACTTGGTATTGAGTTACGAAAAGTTATAATTCTCTTAGGTCATTCTGAATGCGCTTTATATTATAGAAAAATCTGATAATGGTTTTGACTACCATTACTCCAAAGGTTATATTCTTATTTTTTTTCTTTCCTTCTTTCTTATGAGAAAACACATCTACTCTTGAACAGCTGAGCACGAAAATATACATTTGCTTGCTGTCTTTATATTACGTTTGTAATGATTAAACAGGCATTTCATCTCGCTCACATCATCTATTTGCTAATCATGCATTTGTTTTATCCTTCTTGTCAAAGCATATATGTTGACATAATATATGTAGGAACATATAAAATTAGTATAGTTTTATATCATCTTGATATGTTTATAATCACATAAAGTGACATATATTTCCTTTCTGTCAGATCCAATCCGATTTAACTGAATGTAAAAATGTTCTGTGATGTATCTCATCTGCATGTCGTCAGTTTTCACTAGGTAAGCCTAGTAGGAGCTATCAGGAGCTGTAGGTCTTCTTGAATTTTAACTGCGTTGGTGAAGGTAATACTGGCCTTTAGTGGTCTTTCGCAGAGTGCTGGAAAGAGGACAGGCGTTCAGGGCACCCTGTTCCTCCCACCTCCTTATCCACCTGTATACCATTGACCAGGATATAACCAGCTCTCTGCATATTTCACGGGGAGAGAAACCACTTTTCCTCATCGTAATGATGCAGCTTTTATTTGCATCCACCTTTAAAGTGTCAGCTTGGTAACTTAGTTTACACCTCAGATTTTCCAATGTCATCATGACATCACATTCCATTGCACATATAATTTTCTTTTTTATTTAATTTTCATTGCGATTAGCAGTGAAATAAATTTTCAGGAAATTATGAATATTCATTAACAAATAATATCTAATCAAATATACGATTTCATGATTTTTTGTCTTTTTTTTTTATTTTCTTGATAGTTCCTCTTTCTTCAAACAACAATAGCCCCAGGTAAACAACAACAAAGTGTTCAGATTACTTCTGATTTTGCAATCAAGGACAAATATGCTAATTTCATCCATATCTACTATATGGGAGACATATATTGATTGACACGCAGATGGAAACAAAAAATTGTGTAAGTGGTAAATAAAAGTAGAGAGGGCAATGAAATGCCCATTTCATGAGAATGAAAATTATTTTTAAAAATATCAAATACATAGCACATATACTGAAGTCGGTTCCTTGCTATTCAAACCTCCCTGAGACTACTCAGCTAGCAGATGCTTGAGTTGGAACAAGTAAATGTGCATTTTCTTGCTCAGCTATTCGAGTGTGGATACATCTACTCATTGAAACACTATGAGGTATTAAGTAATAACAAAAGCTGTTATCAGATATCAGCAATAGATAAAGTGCAATCTGAATGATTGAAACAAATTATAAATACTATTTTGTAACTCATCACCAAGTATTAACTTTGTATTTCCATAGATGTTGCACACAAACACCCAAACCCACACACAAAAATAATAGAGCATGTTCCGATAGCCCTACTGCATTCTGCGTTTAGTTAATGTTCTTTAAGAAAGAACAGCACATTTTCCATTTACTGAATCAGTGTTTGATTTTGGCAAAAAGAAAATACTCTTCAATCCTTTTTTTTCTTCTTATTTTTTGCTGCCAACCAGCTTTTAAAACATACAGCTTTCTCATATTTCAAGAAATATTACATGGATGGCTCAACATAAGTTCCTTCACCATGGAGTCAATTACTAGTCCTACCTATCTCACCTGCTGCCCTTTTCCTTGCTTTTCTGGAAGATTCTTTTTTATCTTTCATTACTATTAGTATCTATTAGTATTAGTAGTAATACTACTACTACTACTAATAATAATAATAATAATAACAACTACAGTATCAATATCAAAAGCATCATAAAAAAACATTTTCATGAAAATTCAAAGAATGGGAAAACCTGGTGAGCTAATGTAGGGCTTTCATAAGTGATTGTGCACTTATGAAACTATCAGTATATAAAAGAAATCACAAAAAAGACCAGAGTTAACAGTGCATGTACTAGACGATAAAATGTGATGAGAAAGAATTTAGTGGAAATTCCAAATTCTTGAAATAAACCTTGTTTGTGGGAAGGTGAGAGATGGAAATGAGAGTTGGAGTTTGGGGGTTGAGAGACAAATAGTTGTTTATCTATTTACTATCCTTTATTGTTTGTGAATGGCTAACTCTCTCTTATCATTCTTAACTCTCCTTTTTTTTATTTGTGATAAAAATAAAGCACTGCTAAAGTAAAATTCTTTTTTCACCAAATGTACAACTCCTATTAACCGAAAGCCATATATTCTGTGCTAAAGCTACAAATAAATTAATATCTATTTGACAAAACCTATTTACCATTCCTGAATGGCAGTTGTTTTATATATTCTATAGTGCAGTTTTGATGGATGCAGTTTGAAAGGATGAGACATTCTGCAGAATCCCTTGCTTTATGTGTCGAACCATTTCTTCTGCATTCCACTGGGAATTATAAGAGAGGTCTGTTAACTCCATTGAGTATGGTTCTCTAGGACTGTTGTGGTAGAGTGACTGAAGAACAACTTTAGGAGCTTGTTGCTGAAAATCCAATGGAAAGGGAGATTAATGTTTTTCAAAGATTAAAATCTAAATGAAATCAATTATAAGTTTTTTAACCAGGACATAATGAAAAAAGTATCAGATTTTGTACTTTTAATAAAGATGCACTGTATATATACACCATGACTAGATTTAATTTAAGTAATGCTTGACATTAGTTATAGATAAAACAAATATACATGTATATGCATGCCTGGCTAAGCAAAATACAAACATCAAGAAGAAAAATGGCATACAGTCAAAAAAAAATAAAAATAAAAAATAAAAAAGTAAATAAAAAAATAAAAAACAATGTAAAACATCATCTTACTTGGGGGAACAGAGGACTCAGTGTGATGAAGGTAAGGAAGTGGAAATCCTTCACCTCAAAAAGAAGGACAACTTTACAGAATCGCTCTGCGTCGTACTCCAAAACAGCACATCCAAATTGGCACAATATCTGAAAACAATTATATGTCTTTTATCCATTCTGTGTTATGTGAAAGGCTATATATTTTTAAATCTTACTAATATTTTCCAATACCTCACCCTTTTCCAATACTTTAAACGAGCCAAAAAAAAGACTAAAGGAAAGGAAAGGAAAACGAATTGAAAGAAAAAAAGAATAAAGGAAAAAATGAAAGAAAAAAAGAAAAGAAAGAAAATATAAGGTTATTACTTGGTGATGAGTTACGAAATGTTATATATAATTCTTTTAAGAAATGCTGAAAGCCCTTTATATTATGATAATGGTTCCCATTATCATTACTTCTTAGGTTATGTTTTTTTTTCTTTCCTTTTTTCTTAATGAAAGGACACATCTAATATTGGACAGGTGATGAAAGAAAATAAACATTTGCATGATATGTGTGGGTGCGTGTGAGTGTGAGTGCATGAGCGTGTGAGAACATGTGTATGCACGTGTGTACATGCAACAGGAACAACGAAGGGAAGAACAAGAAAACACACGAACATGCTGAAGGCCTTTTCCCTAATGCTTTAGCAAAAAGGCCTTCGGCATATTCGCGTTTTCATGTCCTTCCCTTCGTTGTTCCTGTTGCAATCTGCTCATCATGAATTCCACACGTATGTGTACGTGTGGATGTCAGTGAGTAACTGATTGAATGAATGTATGTATGTATGTATGTATGTATGTATGTATGTATGTATGTATGTATGTATGTATGTATGTATGTATGTATGTATGTATGTATGTATGTATGTATGTATGTATGTATGTATGTATGTATGTATGTATGTGTGTGTGTGTTTGTGTGTGTGTAAGAGCCCAAATGTTGGGTCCTACAAGAGTTGGTAGGTGGCGAGCAAGGGGTTTAAGGTAGACAACCAAGATGTCTTGACTCTTTTACTGAATAAGATGTTGGAGTGCGGCACCTCCTTGGAGCGAGGTGTTGCTCCTCGGCTCCCCGCAGGGTCTGCCTGATCTCTTGGTCTAAAGATCGCATCAAGTCACGTGGTTAGCATGTGACGAACGGTGATGAACAAGCATTACATCAACACATAGCTCTTGTGGAAGAGATAGACAACACGACATTGGAATGTCTGGTGTGGCAATAAGAGAGGAATAAACAGGGGAAGCAATGGTCAGGCGTATATGCATATGTATGTGTGAAGATACGTATGTGACAAACATGTAAAATTATATAAATATGTATCATATAGTAATTAGATATAGATATAGCTGGATTACATATCTTCCTGGTTTTAAAATGATGGTCCCCATCATAATCAAACATCATCTAAATTCATATAGCTAAAAACAATAGAATACATAAGAAACAGTGGCACAGTTGTGTAAAAACCGTAAGCAACGTATAAAAAAAACAGGACACAGGTATTGTGGAAGTATATCAGTATCAAGTAGATTCGCCTGCTATTTTCCAACTGATGCCTAGAGTGCATATTCACGGGCTTCAGAACTGTAGTGAGCGGGCGGCGCTGAAGGAATCCCATCTTCAGGCGGCGTCACAGAATACGCGGGCGGCGCTGAGGGGAGTGCGTCCTCAGGCGGCGGTAAGGTACGAGCGGCGGGGGCGCCTAAATACATACGAGCGAACCTAGTGAGACAACTCATAAGCTGCAAATGAATACCTATAACTGATAAGTGAACACAGAATACAAAAATAACGTCACTGCACAATTAATAACTCCATATTAAGAATTGAACACAGAATAAGAAATATTTAAGGAAAAGCTAGGTATTGATCACCAATTTCTTTTTCTTTTTCTTTTAAAAAATTCACACGGATTTTGGGTGTGGTGCGAGGCGAGGAGAAGCTGGGGAGCTGCAGGCTGACGAGGAGATTTGGAGCGGTGTGTGGCAAGCAAGGTCATGGCGCGATCAGTCAGTGGGATGTGTCCTGCCGCGTGGCTGCGATGATGAATCCGCATGGCGAGGAACTCGGCTAGGTGTAGATATGTTTTGGGTGGTCCACGTCCTGGGTGATATGTGGTCTAGCTGGGGTCCGAATATCGGCTCGGCGTTGGCGGCAACAGACGAGATAAATGCTGAGGGGCAGCAGCTGGTGCTAAGAGTGCCGTGACTTCTAATGCTATGGCGGACAGCGTCAGTTATCAGGCTTGGGGACATCTCTGCGGGACTGGGTCACAGTGTGCTTGGCAGGGTGTGGTGTTGATGCGGAGGCATGGTATAAGTTCGCTTTCACCGCTGCCGCCAATTGTAAGAGCCCAAATGTTGGGTCCTACAAGAGTTAGTAGGTGGCGAGCAAGGGGTTTAAGGTAGACAACCAAGATGTCTTGACTCTTTTACTGAATAAGATGTTGGAGTGCGGCACCTCCTTGGAGCGAGGTGTTGCTCCTCGGCTCCCCGCAGGGTCTGCCTGATCTCTTGGTCTAAAGATCGCATCAAGTCACGTGGTTAGCATGTGACGAACGGTGATGAACAAGCATTACATCAACACATAGCTCTTGTGGAAGAGATAGACAACACGACATTGGAATGTCTGGTGTGGCAATAAGAGAGGAATAAACAGGGGAAGCAATGGTCAGGCGTATATGCATATGTATGTGTGAAGATACGTGTGTGACAAACATGTAAGATTAAATAAATATGTATCATATAGTAATTAGATATAGATATAGCTAGATTATAGTGTGTGTGTGTATGTGTATGTGTGTATGTGTGTGTGTGTGTGTGTGTGTGTGTGTGTGTGTGTGTGTTGTGTGTGTGTGTTGCATGTATTTCGTGTGTGAATGGATGTATGTGCATGTATTTCGTGTGTGAATGGATGTATGTGCATGTATGTATGTATGTATGTATGTCTGTGTGTGTGTATGTGTATGTATGTATAAGTGTGTGCATGTATATATGTATGTATGTATGTATGTATGTGTATGTGTGTATGTATGTGAGAGAGTGGGAGTGAGAGTGAGTGTGAGAGGTGAGGAGTATGTGTGTGTGTGTGTGTGTGTGTGTGAGTGTGTGTGTGTGAGTGTGTGTGTGTGTGTGTGTGTGTGTGTGTGTGTGTGTGTGTGTGTGTGTGTGTGTGTGTGTGTGTGTGTGTGTGTGTGTGTGTGTGAGTGTGTGTGTGAGTGTGTGTGTGTGAGTGTGTGTGTGAGTGTGTGTGTGTGAGTGTGCGTGTGTGTGTGTGTGTGTGTGTGTGTGTGTGTGTGTGTGTGTGTGTGTGTGTGTGTGTGTGTGTGTGGTGTGTGTGTGTGTGTGTGTGTGTGTGTGTGTGCGTGGTGCGTGTGTGCGTGTTACTAGTTGTTCTTACCTGTTGTTTGGATACGGGAGAAGAGCTATGCTCAGGTGGTCCCGTCTGCTATATTTAAATTATCATATAACTTTTTTAATTGATGCACAGTTTTGGCACACACTACTTGATTGGGGAGACTGTTCCACGATTCAATAATTCTGTTTGGGAAACTATATTTTTTGACATCTTTATCACCTCTTTTTACTTTCAACTTTTTGTTGTGTCCTCTCGTTCTTTGTGTTCAAGATCAAAAAGTCATCCTTATCTATCTTCACTCTTCCTGTAATGCAGTTGAAAAGCATAATCATGTCCCCTTTTCCTTCTTTCTTCCAAGGTTATAAGTCCTAATTTTTGTAGTCTGTCTTCGTAACTCAGATCTCTTAGGGTAGGTGCCCATCTTGTCGCCGCTCTTTGGACTCTTTCCAGTTTGTCAATATCTTTTTTTCAAGTGTGGACTCCATACCACTGCACCGTACTCAAGACTGGTCTTATGATTGCTTTAATAATCTTCTTTACCATATCTTCGTCCACATACACGAATGCCTCTTCATGTTGGCAATCAGTCCTAACATTTTGTGGACCTTTTCATTTATATGGTCATTTGGATTTAGGTTTCTATTTATGATTATCCCAAGATTTTTTCCCTGTCAGCTGTGTCTAATACTGCGTCCCCTAATTTGTATTGGAATAGTGGGCGATTTCTACTTTCTCCAAATGACTACGTGGCATTTATTGGTATTGAATTCCATTTTCCATGTACAACTCCACGTGAATAAGTTCTCGATGTCACTTTGGAGGCATTGGCATGAGACGTTGTCTGTTACCCTCTTTTGTATCTTTGCGTCATCTGCAAACATATTCAGATAACTACCTGGGCTTATGTTTGACTCTAAATCATTGACGAAAATAGTAAACATAATTGGCGCCAACACCGATCCTTGAGGCACTCCGCTGGTTACCGTCGCCATGTAGAATGCTTTCCTCTAATTACTGTGCTCATTTGTCTTTCATGAAGAAAGTCTTTCATCCATGCGAGTAGGTTACCTTTCACTCCACCTAGGTGCTCTAGTTTCCATAGTAGTTTCTATGAGACACCTTATCAAAAGCCTTCTTAAAGTCTAAATACACACAATCCACCCAGCCGTCTCTTTCTTGTAATATTTCAGATACTCTATTATAAAAACAGAGGAGATTTGTTACACACGACCTTCCTTCTCTAAAACCAAATTGTTTATTTGATATCATTTCGTATTTTTCAAGCATTTCAACCCATTGTTTTCTAATTATTCTTTCTAGCAGTTTGCATACTACACTAGTTAATGAAACTGGTCTATAATTTAGTGGGTTTTGTTTGTCGCCGCTCTTATATAAGGGTGTAACATTTGCGAATTTCCAACTTTTTGGTAGTTTACCTTGTCTTAGTGAATTTTGAAATATTAACAATAAAGGAGTACACAGCTCTTCGACACATTCCCTAAGAACCCAGTTAGAAATTTCATCTGGTCCCTCTGCTTTGGTCTTGTCTAATCCTTTTAGCAGATCTTTTATTTCGTTCTTTTTGAGGGTGATATTTTCGATGTTCTTTACGTCTGTACGGGTATTTGCCATATCAAAGCATGGATCCTGAACAAACACTGACTGAAATTTCTCATTTAGGATTTCACACATTTCTTCCTCCTTAGAATATATAATGTTATTGTCTTTGATAGCGCTAATTTGATCC